ACAAGTCCAAAGTATTATTATTATTATTATTACTATAAATTAATTGAAAATCTAAAAAAAAACTTGAATAATTTTTTTCAACAGATTGTAATCTTAGAGATCTTTAACTAGTTTGGTAAAACATTTTAAATGTTGCATTTTTAAACAACATTATTAGTAAAGAAAAAACAAAACAAAAAAAAAACATTATCTCAGATTACAAGAAGACAAAAAAAGGGGAAAAAAAACTGCACATTTTTCTTCCTTTTCGAATTTAAATTTGGGTTCAGACACAAACTGCTCAAACATTTTTGACAAATACCAAAATGTGGCATTCAAAGATAAAGTCATTTACATGTTATTTATGATCTGATCAAACTGCATAAGAACCAGTTGGATAAACAACAGTTTTTAGAGTTTATTTTTTACTTCATTGTGAATTATGTAAAATGAATAACTTAAACACAAATACACATAAGTGATAAGAAGACCATTAAAAAAAAAAAAACACAAAACAGCTTCTTTAGGAACTGATTTCATTTTTCACATCATCATTAACTTGTCTCTCTATTAAATTAAAACATCTTACCATATTCAACGCCGCTGAAAAGAAAAATGAGTCCAATAGTGAAGAATGTCAGTTTCTTTTTACGCTGATTTTCCATTGCGGTTGAGTTTTTCGTCGTTTTTTACTGATTCTTTAACACATCATCATCTCTCCTCAAACATCTGCTGGTATAATCGTAAGTGCGGTGCTTCCAATTAGAGCCGCGGCAGGATCCTGCAGAACAACATCAGCTCCTTAAAGCATCGGTAGACCAAAAACCAGGAGAAAAACGCTTCTGCAGTCAGATTTTTTCCAACCTGATTCACGGCTCGGCACTAAATGACAGAATTTTGGAAACTCACTGAAAGGGTCCTGCTTACTCCAAACCCCTGCAGCACTAAACTATAGGTTGGCTGACTATTACTGCGCTAACGACGTCACTTCCGGTGTCCCAGAAATAAATTAGCTTCTTAAATTAAATCTGAATCCACATTCCTGTCATTCCTGATTTAATCAATTATTACGTGATTGTAAATAACCCTGAAAATTAGTGAAAAATTCAGTACCAACAAAAGTATCCTAAATATATAAAATATTTATACTTTATGTGTATACAAAATGACAATAAAAGTTGTCTAAGTCTAAAATATTTAGTCTCTATGTGATCTTTTTAATTTTACTGTAATACAAACCCTACCTTTATTATATCATTTTTGTTTTATAAACTGGGAAGGATCTAACACTAAACTTAAACCCCCTTCTGACTGATTAGGTAAGAGATAAAGGAGTGGGGGGACATGACTAGACATGTTTATACTTCAGACATCAGAAATGTTTCTGAGCTCTGTGAAGCTTGCACCTCTGCTTTTTGAGTGGAAGTTTGAATTGTGGTTTCCTTCTGTCATTTTTTAGTTGCTTGTTTAGTCTTTTAAGGCATTTAGTCTCACATATCCAGAAGATTTGACTCTGGTTGTTTAATTCATGTTTAATCATGGGCGGTTCTAGACAGGGGCCAACAGGGGCCAGTGCCCCTTTAGGTCATGTCCTGGCCCCCGTTATGGCCCCTGTACTGAAGACATAAGAAATTCTAATGACGATACGCACTGGAACAGACATGGTTACTGATAGGTCCTTTGGATCCATTTCTTGTTCTTTTTCTTTACAAATTCTGTTTTACTAATTATTAAAAAAAAACAATAGGGTGATAGCTTCAGTGGTATTGAGATAGGATCCCAGTTTTCATCTGCTAAATGTTTTTTTCAAAACAAATTTTAAAAAATACTCAAATTTTTACAGCTGAATTTATCAGTTTTCTTGAGTTCTAATTCGGATTTTATAGAAAACTGTAATTTTAACTTATATTGAGTCAAAAATATGTAAAATTCTTAAATTCTGAATGTATATTGACCTAATAAGACATAGAATTTTAATTAAACCTAATTAAATAGAAATTTGCATTTGAACCCTTTATTGGAGCAAGTTACCATTTTTGATTAGAAATTAATTCCCCCCATCTCTTTCTTTCTTTCTT